GTTTTATTTTTCCTTCCTTTCCCCAGTGATCCTGTTATGTTTCTTAAATTCCACATAAGAGTGAGATCATGTGATAATTGTCTTTCTCTGATTGACTTATTTCTTTTAGTATAATACTCTCTAGTTCCATCCATGTCATTCCAAATGTCAAGATTTCATTTTTTGATGGCTGAGTAGTATTCCATTGTGTGTGTGTGTGTGTGTGTGTGTGTGTGTGTGTGTGTGTGTGTATACACCACATCTTCTTTGTCCATTCATCTATTGATAACCCATCCTCAATTTTTAAAATTTTAAAATTCTTTTTTTCTTTTTGCTGTTCAGTGGGTACTTTCCATTATCTTTTCTTCTGGATTGCTGATCCCTTCTGCATCTGCTAAAATGCTGTTGATGTCCTCTCCTGTATTTTTCATCTCAGTTACTGTATTCTTCAACTCTGGTTGGTTTTTTGTTTTTGTTTTTGTTTTTGGTTGGTTCTTTTTTACATTTTCTGTCTCTGTTGAATTTCTCACTCAGCTCATCCACTCCTATGTCTTTTGAGCATCTTTATGACTGTTACTAGGTATTTTGCTTATCTCTATTTTGTTTAGTTCTTTTTCTGAAGATTCGTCTTGTTCTTTAGTTTGGAGCATGTTTATATGTCTACTCATTTTGTTTGATCTTCAGTGTTTTCATGAATTGGGTGAAACAGCTACCTCTCCCTCTTTTGAAAGAGTAGACGTCATGTAGGGACTTACCTGCACAGACTGTGGGTGCCTGCCCGTGTGTAGCTTTGTCTGGCTGACCGGAGCTGTATTGGGTGCCAACTAGGGGTCCTTGGGTGTTCTCTGCAGGAAGCATCCTGGCAGGGAACACTGAAGTTGGTGGTGAGGATGGGATGGGGGTCTGGGGTGTGCCATGCTGGGGCCACATGGCGCTTGAGCAGGCATGGGTTGGGGGGCACCTTGGGAATATGGCTAGAGCTGGTTTGGGTTGGGAGCCTGAAGCTCACTGAGACAGTAGGTGGGCTCGAGCATCTAGCCTCTGCTCCCATCTGTGCTACCAAAGTGGAGGGGCAACATAAACGGTGGTGCTCCCCAGCACCTCTGACACCAGAGAAAATTCTTGGAATCCCCCCGACTCCCACCCTGGTTTGTCAGAGGCTCTCGGGTTATTGAATGGGTTTCCTTCACCTTTAGTCATTTAAGCCTTTTAAACCACAGTTTTTTTTCTGTGCCCCAGGATAGGTGAATCTGCTTGAGGGTCCTTTAGTGCTCTCCTCCTCTACTCCAGTCTGCTGTGTCAGGGAGGAGTGCCAGCGACTCTGTCTTTGGTTGTACAGAAGCTGTTTGATCAGCTGTCAGTTCTTCAGGAGGAATTATTCTATATCTGGTTGTAGAATTGACGTGACCATGGGAGGACATAAGTTCAAGGTCTTCCTATGTTGCCATCTTGGATCCTCCCCAGTCTGTTTACATTTAATGTAACTATTCATATGGTTTGATTTGGTTCTACCAGTTTACTGTTTTCTGTTTGTCTCATGTATTTTTTTGTTTCTCCATATTTCTTTCATGCAGCCTTTTTTTGCAGGGGGCGGGTAGCAAAGCAAAGTTTGCTTATTGAGTGATTTCTTGAGCGATTGCAAAAGTGATAGTACAAAGCTCCCAAGGAGGGAGGGGACCTGAAGGCATTGCCCTCTTGCAACTTATAAACCTTATGATGTTGTATAATTTTTGCTCTAGTAGTCTTATGTTTTAAAAATACATAAGCAGCTTTTTATTTTTACCTATGTATTTAGCATTTCAGTGATCTTTATTCCTTCCTGTATATTTGAAATTTATTTAGTGTTAGTTCCCTTTGGCTCTCAGAATTTCTTTAACGTGCATCGTGGTGCAGATGTGTTGGCAATGAATTCTTTCAGCTTTTATGTTTGAAAATATCTTTATTTTACCTTCATTTTTTGAAAGTTTTGCCGGAATTTAATTCAGGGTTGACAGAATTTTTTTTTCTTCCCGCCCTTTAAAGATGTTCTGTTGTCTTTGGCCTCCCTTATTTGTGATCAAAAGTTACTTGTCATTAGATATAATATCCTGTATGTAATTTGTCTTTTTTTTTTTTTCTAGCTACTTTCAAGATTTTTCTCTTTGCATTTGTAGTTTGACTGTGACTTGCCTAGGAAGTCACAGAATAACATATTTATTCTGTTTGACATATATGGAGCTTCTAGGATCTGCAAATTGATGTTTTTTTCCCGGGCCATTATTTTTTCACATACTCTTTGTAACCCATTTTTCTCTCTTCAGTAGATGTTGTTAGACTGTGGAATATTGTCCCACAGTTATCTAGATAGTCTCTGTACAGTGTTTCCTTCAGTCTTTTTTTTTTTAAACTTGGTTAACTTTTGTTCATTTAACTTCAACTGCACTCTTTTTTTTCTGCCTTCTTCGCTATTAAGACAGTGCAGGGAATTTTTCATTTCATTTCATTACTTTCCAGCTTTAGAATTTCTATTTGGTTCTTTTTTTAAAAAAAAAAAATTGAGAGAGAGAGAGAGAGAGAGCGAGCAGGAGGCAGGGGCAGGGACAGAGGGAGATGGAGAAACAGGCTCCCTGTTGAGCAGGAAGTCCCTGTGGGTTGTGATCCCAGGACCCTGAGATCATGACCTGAGCTGAAGGCAGATGCTTAAGTGACTGAGCCACCCAGGTGCCCCTGGTTCTTTTTTATAGTTTCTGTTTCTCTATTTCCTCTTCGTCCATTCCTTATCTATATATTTGCCTTTAATTCCTTCAAGTGCTGTAAAGTTCTTGTCTGCTGATGGCAACATCTGGGTCATCATGGCCTTGATTTCTCTTTCTTTTTTCTTGTTTTTTTTTACATGATTTTTTTTCTTTTCTTTTTTTTTAAATTAACATATATTATTTGTCTCAGGGGTACAGGTCTGTGAGTCATCAGTCTTATACAATTCACAGCGCTCACCATAGCACATACCCTCCCCAGTGTCCATCACCCCGCCACCCCATCCTTTCCACCCCTCTCCCCTCCAACAACCCTCGCCAAGTTGGCTTTGAGTTCTATAGACTACTTTTTCCATTGAGTTTGGGTCACATTTTCTTGTTTCTTTGCATGTCTATTGATTTCTGATTCAACAGAAAACATGATAACAGTGCAGTATGGAGGTTCTGGATTCTGTTACAGCCCTCTGAGGAACTTTTGTCTTAGCAGGCAGTTAATGTCATGAGACTCAAGTTCCAGACTCCTGGCTCCCCTCTCCGAGCAGCCACTGAAATCTCCACTCACTTTTTTATGTTTCCACCTGCTGCTTTTCCTCTTGGGCCTCTTGGGGTCTCCAGCCAAGAATTTGAACATATTTTATTGCAGATTTGGGGGTTCACCCTCCCCATCCTTTTCAAAGTTCCCCTTAACTTTCTGCCTGCTCTGCCCGCCCTGAACTCTGTCCACTGCCATCTGGTAGAACAGGCGAATTTATAAATGTGCTCAGGTTCATTTTCTTGCCTTCCAGGGTCGACTTTTCTCATTTCTGCCTGCTTTTGATCATTCTCCAGTGCCCTCACATAATTTTTAAGTATTTTGTCCAAATTTTGTAACTGCTGTCTGTAGGAGAGTGGTGTGACCAAGCTGCTCTGTCATTGGTGGAAGCCAGAAGCCACGCACATACCTTTTTGGACTTATGTTCACACTTCTCCTCGGCCTTGGGCTCAGCCGCTGTGGAGGGACTCGGGCTTTTTCCCCTGGGAGCTCCAGTTTCAGCCAAGGAGTAGAGATGATGCAGAGAGAGCACCATGGGAATGTCTCAGTCGGCTTGGGGTGCTGTGCCAAAGAACCCCAGGCTGGGTGGCTTACACAACATTTTTTTTTTTCTCAGTTCTAGAGATTGGAAATCAAAGATCAAGGTGCTGGCCAAGTTTTGGTTTCTCATGAGGCCCCTCTCCTTGGCTCACACATGGTCATCTTTTCCCTCTGTTCTCATGGGTCTTTATCTCTGTGTGTCTATGTCCCTGGTGTCCCTTCATCTCTCTTATGAGGACACTAGTCCTGTTGGATCCAGTCCCCACCATTATGCCCTCATTATCTCCTTAAAGGCCCTATTTCCAAGTGAAAGCACACTGAGGATTAGGGCCTCAGTGTATAAGGTTGTTGGCGGACACATAATTTAGTCTGTAGCAGAGCATGATCAAGGCTGGGGATGGTCTGGGAGCAGGCAGGAGCGGCTGAGCTATGCTGTGGGGATGGCGTCGGGACGCATCTCTTCAGCCGTCGAGTCACTTACCATAGCCATGCCTGCTGCTGCTCTCTCCCAGGCACGTTGTGAGGGGCTTGTGGTTCAGCGTGGGCGGGACTGGCTCTGCCCTTATGGAGTTCACAGACGAAGAAGGTGGGAAGACATGCAGATGGACAGTGAGGTCACAGAGTGATGAGAGAAGACATCTGGTGCCTTGGGAGCACTGACAAAGGGGTCCTCCATCCAGTGTATGGGTTGGGGAAGGCTTCCTCGAGGAGATGCGTTTCTAAACCAGAACCTGAAGTGTGAGTTAGGAGTCAGTCATGGAGGAAAAGGGCTTCAGGCCACGCACAGGGATGGGCAGATGGCGGGCGGGGGGCCCAGGGTCGAGGGGGGGCTCTGCACCCCAGAGGAACAGACAGTCATTTAGCACGGCGGGAGCCAGAGGTGCTGGAGGAGCAGAGCGGTGAGGGAGAAGGCCAGAAAGATCAGCTGGGGCCGGCTTCCGTGTTGGATTGTGACTCTGTCCCCAGATGGGAAAGAAGTGTTAAAGAGAGTAGCAGTCTCCTGCTCGGAGGCCCCTTTCTGGCACAGTAAGTGCCCGGTGAATGTTGACAGGTGCCACGTGTTATGGTTTGGGGGAGGGGGCTGAGGTGGTTGGAGGGTTGGGGGTGCGGATGGCTCGCCTCCTTGGTAAAGCAGGGGAAGGGCCGGGAGGTCGCCGACCGCCTCTGGCTGCACCTGCCGCCGGGCTCCAGGTCACGCGTGTGGTGTTGCTGTTCAGCCCTGGACAGCGAGTCCGCCTCCAGCAGCATCCGCTTCAGCAAGGCCTGCCTGAAGAACGTCTTCTCCGTCCTGCTCATCCTCATCTACCTGCTGCTCATGGCCGTGGCCGTCTTCCTGGTCTACCAGACCATCACAGACTTCCGAGAGAAGCTCAAGCACCCCGTCATGTCGGTGTCTTACAAGGAGGTGGATCGCTATGACGCCCCAGGTAGACAGCCTGCCCCGGACAGGCAGCGGGGCCCAGGTCTGGGGCGCCAGCTTACGGAGGAGCCCCTGATGCACTCCCCCACCGTGCTGGACAGCCGGGGGACGGCGGGCAGCCGGACCCGGGCACGGTCTGTGTGTAGAGGACGCGCCCAGGGAGCTGCTGTCAGTACCCAGCAGAGCGTGTCCTGTGCGGAGCTGAGGGGTGGACGGGGCCGGGTGCGGTCACTGCGTAACTGGGGTGGGCAAGGAAGGCTTCGCACGGAGCCGGATTTGAGCCCGGCCTTGACAGATGAGAAGAGAGTTTTTCTGGGAGGGGGATGAGCAGGAGCAGGGGTGAGTATAGGGAGGCGGAGGGCTTCCCTGGAGAGGATGGGTCTAGCCTGGCCTCAGCTCGAGGCTGGTGATGAAGAGCAGTGGGGGGTGAAGGGTGGCAGGGGAGGTAAAGCCACCCAGATGTGGCTGGGGCCCTGCCTGGGGAGGGGGGTCCCTGTCTTTCCTGTCCCAGTCGGGGGGCAGTCCCTGAGGAGGAGCCATCTCTGCCATAGAGGGTAGTGTCTGCCTCAGGGCTGTGAGCCTGGCCCTGGGCTCTGGAAGTGTGGGCAGGAATCGGGAGGCAGGAGCTCAGAGGGCTCTGGCTGTGCGCACAGACCGTGTGCACCTGCTCTGCCCACAGGATGCCTGACTCACCCTCTGGATGGCCTGGCCGCAGGGCAAAGCCAGAGTCTCGGGCCTTTGCCTGCGCTTCTGGAAAGTGTGCGGCTCGCAGCACCTTCGCCCATCTTTGCCTGTCTTGTGTCGGTGCCTCTTCTCTGTGGGTCTGCCTTGGTCCCTTGATCTGCGGGTGTTTCTTTCTGAGCTCGGCCTGCGTCTGGTGCCGCACACCGCTCTCGGGTGTTCTGTCACCAAGGTCGGATGGCTGCTGTCAGGAGAGCCTGGAATGAGGTGCTCTGGCTGTGGGGAGGGAGGGACCGTTGAGGTGTGAATCACACCTGGAGCCCCCCCCTCATCAGAGCAGGAGGTGAGAGGCAAAGTGAGCCGTGGGGAGTCCCACAGCAGGGAGCCTCCCAGGCAATGTGCAGGTGGCTGGTGGTGTGGGGGGCTGGCATGGCCAGGGTCCGGCATGGAGGCCCCCTTGGGGTGCGCTGAACGGGCCATGAAATAGGGTGGGTTTTGGTGTAGGCGCCAGGAAGCCCGCACCCCAGGCCAGGAGAGGGGCTTTCTGGGAAGGGGATTGTGTCTTCCTTTAGAGTAGGGCTTTCTGAGGGCAGCAGAGGTGGCTCCCCACCCTCCAAAACCTCTTCTTCTCCCTCCTCTGCTGTCACTTGAGGAGTCTTGAACTGGGGTTGTTGGTAGGAGTGAAAAAATGTGTGTGACTTGGTTTTAGGGGTGTGGGTAGGGACTGTGACTTCTGACAGTCCCTTTTTCCTGTTTGTGCCCTCTAGGGATTGCTCTGTACCCGGGTCAGGCCCAGCTGCTCAGCTGCAAGCACTATTACGAGGTCATTCCGCCTCTGAGGAGCCCCGGCCAGCCGGGTGACATGGACTGCACCACCCAGAGGATCAACTACACGGACCCTTTCTCCAACCAGACCCTGGTAACGCCTATCCCCCCACGCCAGGCCTGGGCAGGCCGCTCGGTCAGCCTGGCACCCCGCGGCCCCCTGCCTTCTGTCTGCCACAAGGCCACTCCTACTCCCTTTGTGCAGGCCCTTGGCCCCGGGCGACCATGAGGCTGTCCCAGGTGGAGTCATGGCCATGCCTGGCTGGCCTGAGTCAGCAGGGGCTATGGGGGCTTCAGCGTTCTCCGGGTGCTCCTCGGGGGTTCCTGACAGCATGGTAAGAGCCTGTCCTTGGCGGGAGGATGTAGGGCTGCGGGGTGAGGCCAGTGTGGTGTCGTGGAGTGAGTCCTGTACCTGAGTGCCCAACACAATTGCCACGTGGGGCCAACGGAATCATTCATTCCTGGGGACGGGGCCTGGGAAGCCGTATTTTGAAGTAAACAGGCCAGCGGGAAGAAGCCGGTCTGGCAACGAGGACCCCCGCCCCTGGTGGCAACCGCACAGGGTTTGGAAGGCAGGGAAGGAATTTCGTATTTATGTAAATCTTCTCTATTGCATCCCATGTTCTTGTTTCAGAGAGGACCGAACAGGGCTGAGTAAAGGTTTTCCAGATCAAAGAAAGGAAAGGGGCTTTAAGGTGGAGGCAGAAGCTGCGGGTGTCTGGAGGGGCAGGTGCCCCCCACCCCCCGCGGCGGGAGGCCAAGCTGAGGAAAGGCCTGATGACAAGGGCTCGCCTGTGGCTCCTCGGGTGGTCTGAGGTGGAGAGCCCGGCTGGGACGGTCTGTTCACGTTCGTCCTGGGCTTCCTCCTAAGATCCAGCTGAAATGATTCCCTCTCCAGCAGAAACTAGAGTAAAATAACGTTTCCATGACAGTCCCACAAACCCAGAGCAGGTATCACCAGTGGACAAGACATTTTGGGCTGGTGTGAAATACAGATCGGGTCTCTGGACCCAGCAAACGGCCCCCACCCTGAAGTCGGCGAGGGGAAAGCCTTCCGTCCGGCTCCCAGCTCCGCACCCGCCCGCGCGGAGGGCAGGGGTCAGGGGCAGCGGGCGGGACGGTCATCATGGCACTGCCCGTTGGTGGGGCCTCCTGCCCTCCCAGGGCACGGGGAGCTGCGGGGCATGACTTTTGCTTCTGGGTAAGAACATTCTCTGTGGAGGCTCGGGGAGCTTCCCCGCTGGGCGCCGGGGGAGACGGGCCTCCAGGGCCGACGGGGCACCAGGTACCGGAGAGGACTCTGTTCCCAGGAGGGAAATCTGCCGCATACGTGGCCTGCTGGCCTTGCCTGCCCGCGGCCCCGGAGCGCCAGCCACAGGCCAGCGCGGGCATGAGCGAACCCCAGGGGACACCTGTGCCCCGGACCTGTGCTCGTTGCCCTGGCCCGTCCTTCAGGTGGGAGTGGAGAGGTTCGGCTCGTTAGACGTTTTCAGGAAACCAGTGGCATGGAAGAGGACCAGGAGGGACCGACGGAATGGACTCCGTAGGGTGGGGAATGGATGCTAATTTAGATGAAGGGAAGCGTAGTTTTTAGGAACGTTAAGAGGAGCAGGATATACCCCAGGAACGCTGTGCGGACCCCCACCCCCACTGCCCACTCTGGGAAACTCCGCTGGACAGCCGGGCTGCGCGGGGGTCTTGGGGTGGCTGTTCCCCCCCAACCCCCGTGGCCGTCCCCCGGCTGAGCAGCACCGCCGAGGAGCCCCTCGCGCTCGTCCCCAGACCTGGCGGTGCCAGTGGCACCATTTGCACTCGTTACGCAGTTTAACGACCCGCTCTGAGCACCCCCGAAGTGAGGGCGCCCAAGGAGAGTTGTTGGCACAGAGACGACGCTGAAGGCCGTGCGTGCGTCTGGCTCCGGGTGATGGTTCTTCTCCAGCGGGGCTGGATGTGGCTCGTTGCTGTCCACAGCCGAGAGCTGGGAGGGCTTCTGGCCTCTCTGGGCCGTGAGGCGGGGAGGGAGGGCCAGGCGGGCACAGGAGAGCGCCCGTGGGGAAGGGGCCGTGGGAGCCCAGGGCAGCTGTGGTGTCTCTGCAGGCCCCCAGGGAGCTCCATGGTTGGAGGCATCTGTGCCCCACCGCAGCCCCTGGCCATGGCCTCTCGGCAGATTGGGCCTTGCTGGAGGTCCCCAGTGGCTGTGCCTGGCGTAGACATCAGAAAGTGTGCCCCCACCTCCCCCCACCCCCGCCTTGGAGGTTGGCTCGCATCCTTCTCCCACCCCCGCCCCCTTTGTTTGCAGCACAGCGTCTAAGAAGTGGGTCGGCTTCAGGCCATTTGCGTCCTGGCCCGTCTGTGTGCACGTGGCCCACTGGGGGCCTCCCCTGACCCGCTTCGTGAGGCTCACGATCCCCGTGTTTCCTAGTCTCCCTGGTGCCTTCCGTTCAGTGACGTTTACCTCGGTTAGAGCCGCCGGGCTCCAGGCTGTAGGACCCGTTCCTCTCCTCACCACCTGCCGTGTCCCCTGGTCCAGATGGCAAGCCCTTGCCTCCTTCGCTTTGCTCCCAGAGCATTCCCTGTGTGTTGGGCCGACACTAGCCCGAGCTCCTTGGCAAAACCACGCACCCCTAATGGACACCGTGGCTGCGGCCACAGAGGAGTCTGCTTCTTGGGAACCCGTTGGGCATGTGGGCGGGGGGCGCCAGGGGCGGCCAGCGATGGCTTCTGTCCGTCACTCTGCCATCCACAGGACAGGCTCTCGGGCCTCGTGGGCAGTCCTGGCTCACGGTGACGGGCACGTGCGGCGTCCCCTGAGTCTCTTCTGTGCATGTTCCAGGAACTTGATCACGCGGCCGCGGCCGGGCCGCTGAGACCGGAGAACTGGGGAAGGGGGTAATGGAACAGTTCGCGTTCTCTCCTGCCCCGACATGTCGCGGAAGGGCTGGGAATGGAAAGGACCAGGATCTCTTGGGAAGATGCAGCAAGAGGCCGGCAGAGTGAGGGCGGCGTTCGGTCGGTCGACCTGGAACGCCAGGAGCAAAGGGCTCCAAGAGGGGTGTTTAATTCGGGTGGAAGAATAAAGGACTGTCTGCGAGGATGCAACCGTCAGAAATCTGTATGTGCCGGACAGCATTCCGTTTGTGTATTTTAGGCAAAACCTGTTAGAAATAAGAAATAGCCGTTGCCTTAAAGGGTGACTAAATCCGTACTTTTCTCTCTCATGTTCACCGATCAAATAGACAAAAGGAGTGAGGATAAGAATTGAACAGCGTAATTCATCAGTTTAGAGTGAGTGTGTGCGTGACACTTTGTGCCTGACATCGCTCACTCTCCAGGTGTCTGTAGAGCATTGATAACTGTGACTGACGTTAAGATGGTTTTCCCCAAGTTAACCTGCAAATCCAGGTTGTCCGTTAAAAGTCCCAGTTGATGTTTCCATGGAATTTAACAATCTAGTTTTAAAATGTCCTCTTAGAAGAGCACGTGTACAGCAATCACCCCACTGGATTTGGGGACAGGTAGCAGCGCCGTGGAGGGGACCTGCCTGGTCAGATGACAGAACCGTGTAAACCCGGGGAACAAGCCCATATCTGCCCGTTGTCTGGGGAACGGGACGCAGATCCCTGTTTCATACCAGATACAAAACTGAAAGCTGGGCACATAAAGCATCTGAATGTAGAACCTTTAAAAAGTGTTCTAGGGGCGCCTGGGTGGCTCAGTGGGTTAAGCCTCTGCCTTCGGCTCGGGTCATAATCTCAGGGTCCTGGGATCAAGCCCCGCATGGGGCTCTCTGCTTGGCAGGGGGCCTGCTTCCCCTCTCTCTCTCTCTCTCTCTGCCTGACTCTCTGCCTGTTTGTGATCTCTCTCTCTCTCAAATAAATAAACAAAATCTTTAAAAAAAAAAAAAAAGTGTTCTAAAGAAATACAGGAGGGGGTGCTTGGGTGACCCAGTCGGTTAAGCATCTGACTCTTGATTTCAGCTCAGGTCAGGATCTCAGGGTCATGAGCTCGAGCCCCACGTCAGGTTCTGTGCTTAGTGGGGGTCTGCTTGGGATTCTCTCCCTCTGCCCCTCCTCTCCCCTTCCCCCCCAACCCCCGCTACCATGCTCTCTCTCTCTCACACTTCTTTTCTTTTCTTTTTTTTTTTTTTAAGAGAGAGTAAGAAAACTATAGACCATTGATGTAATTTTGGTTTTCCTTGACCAGCAAATCCCAGAAGCCATAAAGAGAAAGATTTACAGATATCACTGTATCAGATTTAAAGCTTAATGTAAAAAATGACATTAGAAACAAAGTTGATGGAAAAGTGACAGACTGGAAGAAAACATTTGTACATGAAATGGATGTAAGCTAGCATCCTTTTTATTAATTAATTAATTAGAGCACGCATCAGCAAGGGGAGGGGCAGAGGCAGAGAGAGAGACTCTCCAGCAGACTCTCCGCTCAGCAGGGAGACTGACTCAGGCTCGATCTCACAACCCTGAGACCATGACCAGAGCCGACATCAAGAGTCAGACGCTCACCGGACGGAACCACCCAGGTGCCCCACGAGCGTCCTTCCTAAGTGAAGGGCTCCCCTAGCTCAGGCAGCCGCTGAGAAAGGTGGACAGAGGACAGTTGCTCTTGGCTCTGGTCCAGCAGTGCCCAGAGAGCCGCCCCGCAGGGCTGAAGGGGAGTGAGCACTGACAGCGGCCCGGGTGGCCCGGGTGGCCTGGGGTCCTCTGGGGTCCGCCGGGTGAGGAGCTTTCCGGTCACACGTGTCCAGAGCAGAGCAGCCGCGGCTCCCCCAGGGCTGATTTTGGCCTTTGTGTCTCTGCAGAAATCCGCCCTGATTGTGCAGGGGCCCCGCGAGGTGAAGAAGCGCGAGCTGGTCTTCCTCCAGTTCCGCCTGAACGAGAGCAGCGAGGACTTCAGCGCCATCGATTACCTCCTCTTCTCGTCCTTCCAGGAGTTCCTGCGCAGGTGGCCTTTCCAGTCCGCAGCGGGCTGGCCCATCCCGGGACGGGGGCGGGCACGCGGGGCGGCCATGACCCCGTGGCCCAGGGGCCTGACCTGGAGCCCGGAGGCCCCGGGAGACCTGTGCTTACAAAGTGTGGCAGGTCTGGTGTGGCGCGTGTTCGGACCCGCGGGCCGAGAGCAAGGTCCTGTCACTGCTGGGACCTTGTGCGCCCCGAGTCCCTGGCGCCGGGCCAGATGTCCCCTGTGCTGTCAGGGCAGCATGTCTAGCCCTCGGTGTGTGTTTAATACGGGCATGAGAGTTCCTGTCTGCTGGGGGCGCCTGGCCGTGCCCTCTCTGGGGCCCGGAGTGGGCACTGGGATTGCAAGTGTTTTCTTCACGTGCCTGACTCCGGCCTCCAGGCCCTGCAGAGCCCAGGGCGCCCCTGAAGGGAAGTGGGGTGGCAGTCACCGCGGAGGAGAGGCCGCCCCCCTGGCTGATGCTGCGGGCCATCTTCCCTGCTCACATACCCCTGCTCCGTCCTTCTGGAGCCTGGAGCCTCTGCTGTGGCGTCTTCACCCCGTCTGCTGCCGCTATTCCCTCGGGTCTCCCTGCTGGAGCTGCTGGCTGGGCGGATGCCATGGGGTCCTCTCTGGGGAGGGGAGGCCAGTGGGTGCCGCTGCGGACTTGGGGCCGGTGCTCTGGGAGCAGGTGGGAAGGAGGAGGGACTCCCCCCCCATGAGAGGCCACCTCGAGCCGGGTGACAGCTCTCCCTGCGTGTGCAAACCCAGACACGGAGCTTGGAAAGGCAGCAGGAATTGGGCAGCCCCCCGGTGGTGCCAGCCAAGGAGCCCACGGGAAGCAGGGGCTGGAGTTCGAGTCCGGCTGTCGGGCCTAACTGGACCCTTTCTTCTGTGTCTTCCCAGCCCAGACAGGGTGGGCTTCATGCAGGCCTGTGAGAGCGCCTATTCCAGCTGGAAGTTTTCCGGGGGCTTCCGCACATGGGTCAAGATGTCCCTGGTGAAGACGAAGGAAGAGGACGGGCGGGAGGCGGTGGAGTTCCGGCAGGAGGTAGGTGGCCCTGGCTTTGCTTTCCCCTGCCGGCCGCCGCTTCCCTCGATTCAGGGGTGCAGAGGAGCTTTGCAGAAGAGATGACCTCTGGGCAGTCTTCAGAGTAGAAGGGACCCCGTGCCAGGGAGGAGACGTGCTCCCCGGGCCCTTCCCTAGGCCACTGTCGGTCCCCGCCGAACACGTGGGCCAAGCACAGACGCCTGCGTTTCGCAGAGCCGATGACTCGGCCCACACAGCCTGGGTTCTCAGCCCTCGGAGGCTGCTGGCCGCATGGGAGACGGGCGACTTGCAGGGAGGAGATGAGATGCGGAGGCCTCTGAAGGTTGTGCACATGATGATCCGTCGGGATGCATGGGGAGAAATCCTAGCTTTCTCCTTGTATTAATTTATCATCCTTTTTGCTATTTCTGAATATTTTGAAAGGCGTGTCACGTTAGAACAGCAATAGCAATGTTATATCACTTTGGAAGAGTCGTATATGTGGAGGGTATTTGCTCAGAACATGATCCTAGTGGGAAGTGTGACTGAAAGCTTTCCGCCTGCTGGTCTGGAGCCCGGAGGTGCCCCCGGAGTTTCTGGCCGCAGTCCCGGCGGTAGATGGGAGAAGACCCAGGGAAGAGGCCCGGCCGTAGGGATGGAGGGAGAGAGCATTTTGGTTGTCACAGCAGGGCTGTTTGTCAGTCACCATTGAAAGCAAGGCCGCACCCCTACCTTTGGGACCTCCACCTTGGCCGTGGCTGCCCCCTGCCCACATCCACACCCAGAGCCCACCATCCTGTGTTATCAGTGGCTGGGTGCTTGCAGAGGCAGCGAGGAGATGGGTCTGTTCTAGAAAACTCTGTTCCTCCTTGGAGATGTTCCACTGGCTTGGACTCTGTGGGGCAGCATCGGGAAGGGCCTGGGTTGGACTAGAAGGACCGACTCCACCGACGCGGCTGTCAGAAGCCAACGCCCCTTCCCTGTCCGTGGGACCTCAGGCTGCTCCGGGTGAGACCTTTGGGAAGGGCTTAAAGCCGATTTTCTTCAAGAGGACAGGTTTGGGGAGCCTGGGTGGCTCAGTGGGTTAAGCCTCTGCCTTCGGCTCAGGTCATGATCTCCGTGCTGGGATGGAGCCTCGCATCAGGCTCTCTACTCAGCAGGGAGCCTGCTTCCCCCCCGCCCCCGCCCTCCGCCACATCCCCCGCTGCCTGCCTCTCTGCCTGCTTGTGATCTCTGTCAAATAAATAAAATCTTAAAAAAAAAAAAAAAAAAGGACAGGCTTTTTTCCTGTCCCAGGATGTGGCAATTCGCCTGGCAATGGGTCCTTAAAGTATTCCTAGTTTTCAGCTAACCACCACATTCTAGATTTTTAGTGCACACTTTTCTCCAAGAGCCCCTAGGACCTTCCTCATCTGGCCCCACAGCGGCTGAGAAAAGGGTACCCGGTACCTTCCCCTTGCAGTTTGGTGCCGCCTCTCTGCCCAGCTCCCCCACAGGAGGAGGAGCCCAAGGGGACCAAAGTCCCAGCGAACCTGTACATCTCAGAATGTCTGTGCTTTTCGTTATTTTTAGACAGTCTTTTGGTGGGTGACCTGAACTCTGTTGAATAAGAGAAACAAAGTTTTTTTTTATGAAGTGTTTTAAAGTTTAAAATACTTAACCTATGTATTGTCTCCTTTGGTCCATCCCACACCTCGGTGATGTCAGCACTTTGCCCACAGTGGGGCGAGGGGCGAGGTCAGGGTGGACACAGCCCTACGACTGGACCTGGCGGCTTCCCCGGGACCTGTTTGCTCCCCGTGACAGCAGGCCTCGGAGTGTTTAGTGATCGTGATCGTGCACCAGATCTTAGCCGCCCACTACGCACAGCCGCGTAGGTCTGGGAGGTTACACTCTGTCCCTAGAGACCTGAAGGGTCGAAATACTCCACTTTTAAGATAAAGTGTTTTGAAATTTGAGGCTCTGTGGCTTCTAATTATGCCTAACGTGGCCCTTCGAATATGGTTTAGCTCTGAGTCCGATGCCCAGTGGCCGTTTGGTGATGACCCAGAACACCCACTATGCGTCCCAGATCCTGTTCATTTCCCCAGGGGGCTTCCGGAAGCCAGGGTGGTCTCGGCTCTGGTACCAGTCTCGGGATGTTGTTTATGAGATTTCTGGCTTTGTCCGTCCAGAAGGTGGTGTGAAGGGAGCCCCGGTCCAAGATCCCCTCACCGTCCTCTCCTTCCCTGCGACGAGGGCTAGGGAGGGGCGCGGAGGAGGTAATCCTGCTTTCTCTCCTCTGTGCCCAGACCAGCGTGGTCAACTACATTGACCAGAGGCCAGCCGCCGAAAGGAGCGCTCAGTTGTTTTTTGTGGTCTTTGAATGGAAAGATCCTTTCATCCAGAAAGTCCAAGACGTGAGTATTACTTCGGGTCGCAAGAGCGGGTTCCCTGCGCCAGGGTACTCTGACTCCTTGCAGGCTGTCCTCGTCTCCTTTCTCCGCACAAATTCGTTTGTCATTTATGACATTCGTGTTCTGTGTTGTGTTTCAGTGGCTGTCACTAGCCAGTTGACCCTGTGAGGGCGGGGCTTCTTCTTTCATTCATGGTCGCTGTTACCATCCGGCAGGGTGCTTAGTGCAGAGTCCTTGCTCGGTAGTAATGTTAAGTGAATGAACTGAGTAGAAAGCATGGATTGTGTTAAGATAATGTCTAGATTACAGCTTTTGGAATTCCTTCTTTTTTTCTTTTTTTTTTTTTTTAATGGGTCTCTGTTGGGTAATGATCCTTATTATTTATTGTCAGAGCAGAAAGGTACAAAGAAAAATTAACAGTGTGTCAATTAATGCCAGATTCTCAGACTCCATCTTGGAGGGGAGGAATGATGGGACAGTTTTGCTAAAGGAACAGTCCAGGGAGACCCCATCACCAGAGCCAGTCCCCAGTCTAATGCTAGATAATTCCCCAAATGTCCTGATGTAGTCGTGGCTTCAGGGAAGTGCCTTCTGTGGCTGAGACCCGAGCGTGGAGGGTCTCTGTGACCATAGCTGCTCCTAGTGTCCCACCCTGCCGGGCATCGTGGGCTGCCAGAGCCACGTGCGCAGGGGCGCGTGCAGCTCCGGGAATGCAGGTTCGGGGTGGAGGAGCGAACGCCTTAAGCTCTGCACGTCAGTTGCGTGGTGAGCCGTTTTCCACTTAGGCCATTACTCAGTCGGAGGCGCCCATTGGCAGAGGAAAGGCCACACCTGAGAGGGGCCAGCCCTGAACAGTGGCACTGGGGGAACTGTTTTGTACCCGGGAGCCCCGAGGCTCCCCTTGTCCAAGGTCACCCTGCTCAGCTGACCTGGGGTTGCTGTGGTTCCCGTGCTGGGGACTCAGAAGTGCAAGAGGAGACGTGAGCCTGGAAGGGTTTCGGCATTGAGTAGCTCTGGAGGGACTCGTCGCAGACAGGAAGTGGCCGCCAGGGTTTTTGTGGGATGAAGGTCTCGGTTTTGGCTTCGTGGTCAGAGAGCGGAGCTCCAGGGAGCTGGGAGCGGTCCGCACAGCTGGGGAGCAGGAAAGCATCACAGGCCGGGGGCGTCCAAGGGCATAGCCTGGAGGTAGGAGTCCAGGACAGGGGACTGCCCCTGGACCAGACGGAGGGAAGTTGGCGTAACTGAGATGGGAAGAAAACAGGAGGAACTGACCTGACGGGAGAGGGTACAGTTCTGGGGGGAACTGGTCTCAGAGCAAGTTCACTTACTGTGGATGAGGCCAGAAATTTAAACCTCAGTACTGAGTATCTGATTTGTGCAGAGCTTTTTTAAGAAACATTTTTTTTTTTCAGGATCCATTCAGGGGAGGAAGGGATTAGTGTTTTTCTTCTCAAACTTGAGCTCTGCACGGTTTAGTCAGAAGGAAGTACAGCCACGGCAGCTTTGGGACGCAGGCGTTTTTCCTGCCCCTCCCGCCGTGTGGGGTGGGAGGCTCTGACGATGGCGCCGGTATGACCTCGGAAGCAGAGGGGAAGCACGCCGGTAAGCTTGTGTGTGTCGCTCTTTTCCAGATAATCACCGCCAATCCTTGGAACACAATCGCCCTTCTCTGTGGGGCCTTCCTGGCGTTGTTTAAAGCGGCAGAGTTTGCCAAACTGAGTGTGAAGTGGATGATCAAAATTAGGAAGAGATACCTTAAAAAAAGAGGTCAGGCAGCAAACCACATAAGCTGAGGTGGCCTCGTGGTGTTGGTAGAACTGCCCCCGGCGATGGAAGTTCTCGTCATTTCTGTTTTGGTAAACGGAGCGGCCAGCGGCCCTGTGCTCACCTGCCACGGCCTCGCTGGGAGGACCAGCCTGCCGGACCGCAGCTTCTAATCTGGCCCCGAAAGAGGATGTTTAGAGCCTAATGGAACAGATCCGGTGGATAACCTACAACCTATTTAAATACTTAAATTATTAATGAACATTTTTGGACATATGAATAGGGATTGTGGAAGATGGAATTAGCTATGTCTCAGGTTTTCTGAAGGTTTGTGAAGCTGCCTTTCTTCCTTGGTTTGGTGTATAGTTAAGCTCTAACGGGATGATCCAGGCTCTACATTTCACCTTAGTCCCCCCCCACCCCCGAGGTTTTTATAAAGTGGACAGAAGAGTGATTTTTTTCCCCCAAATCCTGAGGCTGCAGATGTGCAGGTTCTGCGTTGAGCCCTCTGCACCCCGTACCCAAGGGCAGAATCCGTTGTCTCCAGCCTCACCCGCCAGTTCCATCATCCAGCCTCTGACACGCGCTCTCATTTGTTAAATTTTAAATGGGACTTTTGTAAAGCTTCTAGAAAGTAGTGCTAAGATATCTTGAGGATTGACTAGCCACCTACGTGTCTGGCTCCGGTATCTGTTGATGCGGGTATGAGCGCGCAGTGATTAACATGCAGAAGCCCTGGGACATGTGTACAGAGGAGGTGCCTACTCAGTGTATTTTGATGATTTTATTAACAGGTAAATAAAAGTTAGGTTAATGCAAAAGGAGTCAGTGTGCCAGTATGAGTCTGCTCGATCGGTAGGCACCAGTACGCTTTCATTCTGTGACCTCCAAGTGAGTGGCCTCGTGAGCTCGGACTCCCCAGATGGACGATCTGGACTCCCGAGTTACGTCATGACTGTGTCCAAGGAAAGGCAGGTGGCCCAGTGGGGAAGAGTGACAGATGTACTCCCGTGAATAAGCTGTGCTCTGTTCTGCCCTACCAAAGCACCCATCTGAGAAAGGGGCACTCAGCGTGACCTTCAAAGCCTTCAGCCTAGCTTTTTTTTTTTTTTTTTAAAGATTTTATTTATTTATTTGTCAGAGAGAGAGAGGGAGAGAGAGCGAGCACAGGCAGACAGAATGGCAGGCAGAGGCAGAGGGAGAAGCAGGCTCCCCGATGAGCAAGGAGCCCGATGTGGGACTCGATCCCAGGACGCTGGGATCATGACTTGAGCCGAAGGCAGCCGCTTAACCAACTGAGCCACCCAGGCGCCCCACAGCCTAGCTTTTGACAGAGGTGAGTACTCCGTATTTTTCACACGGTAGCCATGGGGTGATTTAAGGTTATGGAAATTGCCTCCAGAGTTTCAAATTATTTCCATGCCCTTTGCTTCTAAAGAGGACTTGGTAACACTTCCTATATTTTATAACCCGGCTTTAAGTAACTTAAAGAGGGAAAACTCAAATGTAGAAGTGGGGCACTCATGTCTCACTCAGGAAGACACTGTTATTTGATTGAATTATTAAAGATAAACTTGTGCAAAGAAATATTCGCTAGTACTCTGTGCCACACAAGTGTGCACATTCAAACGTGAGCCTAGATCTTGTCTCTCCGTAAAGTCTTTCTTGCAAGTGCAGAGGCAGGCGTAGCTTACCTTAACACTGGAAAACGTGTGTGTGTGTTACAGTAACTCAAAGATGACACACCACCTTAGTATTTAATAAAATTTGCTCAAACGAACATACTAAAACTTGAAACTGCATTTCCTGTATTGTGGAAAGTCGAGAGACCGCTTACATGTGCTTTAGAATAAGCAGCTAGTTAGGAAGTGAGCATTTTTAGCTTGTCAAAGAGAAAACCAGCCTGCCCGAACGCACTGTGGCTGCTCCCCGGTGAAAGAAATAGAAACCTGCCGCCAACACTTAGACCTAACCTTCAGTTTCTGGAGCGGCAGGGGCTAGCCTTTCCGTCTGTTCTGTATGTGGGAGGCTCACCCCTGCCTTCCTGGGCTGCCCCCGGCGGCCAGCAGCACTGCTGGCTCGGGCTAGCGCGGCCGTTTCGGCGCGAGCGCGCTGCTCGGGGCAGCCGGGAGAGGGCGGCTACGTGAGGCGCTCGCACACAGCCATGTACCGAAAGGAAGAGTTTCTCTGGGCACCTCAGCGAGTGAAAGGAGTTGCTTTCACGGTGACCTTGGAATTGTGTGCAGGACCCAGGCTAGAATTTTTCATGAATGCAAAAGAGTGGAAAGTTTACACTAATGTCTCATTTCCGACTCTGGCCACGATTTCTCTGAACCTCACCCAGGGAAGTGTTCATGATAAATTTTGAGATTTATCCTTGTGGTCTTGTTTTAATTGAAATGACATTTAAGGTCATTTGAACCTATTCTCCGAACACAGACACGAAAGATGAAAGGATGTCCTAAAACTTAGAATTTTATGCAGGTGTTCTGGAAAACCGACGTAGTTTGGTGGGTTGCTGCCGCGGTCGTGTGTGTCGTATGACCGTAAGGGCAGCAGGCTGCTTCTGGATGCCTCAGCTCGGAGCTGGGAAAAGCAAAGACAACATAGGCAAAATACAAACATAGACTTTATTAAATGCTGCTCAATCCCCCAGTGAAGATCTTTCATTACAAAACAGTTCTCCACACAACTGCAAGTAGAGATTGGAATGGTACTCATAACAAAAGGTGTGAGAAATACTTGACCAAGTGAAAACATACAAGACCTTTCTATAGTCAAGAACTCTACAGGGGAAGCCTACTGCGTTTCCTTTAAATAAAGCCAGGCGGTGACAGTGAGCGCTCTGCGTCACCACATTGTGGGACTCAAAGCCTCCTTCCCTGGGGCAGGAGGGACTGGAGGAAGGGCAGGGTGTGAGGACTGGAAAGGTCCTGCCTTCAGCCTTTGGGAGGAAGAGGAGGAATGAACTGAGAGGCAGGCTCGGTGCTCCCCTGCGCGCCTCCGTGAATCTGGGCTCATCACCCTGGGGAGTTGCAGATGAAGGGGGAGATTCATGAGGAACAACCTGAAGAATTTGGTTTACTTTCCCAGCTTTTATTTATATTTTGTGCTTTAAAAAGTCTGGAGATTTAAGTTTCTGCTCAAATTCCAGAGTGCAGTAATCGCTCTAATGAAGGAAGGCTTAGGGCAGGTAACTCCCCCCATCATATTTCTGGGAGCAACAAAGAGAAGGGTAAGGATTACACCTTAGTTTTGTTTCAGGAAATAGTCTTTTTCCCAGTATGTAACTAAGGTCTGCAGCAATGTGAAAAGCACATTATAAAAGGGAAAAATATACAGAGCAGACTACTATCTCTATGTGCAACACAATCAAAAAAAGAATTCAAGTCATAATTCTTACCACTCCCATAATTATCTCACTCATATCATAGATGATAAAGTTCATTCATTTCTGTGAAACTTGAGAAGTGACACAATAAATCCATGATTAGACAGAGGTTACAATATACTGTGGCCATGATAACAGCACAGGGCTATGTTTAGTCCATATTTTTCATTTACAGTTGCCAGAAAAAAAGTTGGCCTTTTAATTATACTGAGAGGTTTGTTTCATAATTTTTACATATTTCAAAAAAGTGTAAAAAACTGCCTATCCAACAGTGGTGGTGGGCTTTTTTTATTCGTCACTTGTATTGCTGAGAATACTGTGCATGTTGTAAGCACTGTTCTGCTTTTCCAGAGCTTTCTTTAGCTTTAGCTCCTCTAATTTCTTCCATAATTCTTCACGTTCCAATTCCTTCTTTTTCTCTCTGTAGATAAACCAAAATTTTTGTAGTCAGAAGCCTTTAAGGAACTTGCTGTTTGGCATTTTGCTGGGGAACATATTATTCACCCACATTTCACTTAAATCCCTTTACTGAAGCATTTGAGGCCAATTACCTGGAGCACCTAATTATTCTGTCACTGTCCTGTGTGACTAACACCTCTATGCAGCTCCTGTACCAGCTCAGAGTTACTCCTTGCTTTCCCTGCAAGTTCTCACATCCACGACTGCTACTGTCATTTGTGCCTTATTACATTCACTTTCTCACCTAACCCTCTTACAACCTTTGGAGCCGCGATGGTCATCCTTTTCCGGAGACTGAAGGGTGGCTGTGAGGTCAGGCTGCAGCCACTTCTGGGTGGAATCATCTCTCTAGCCACTAATCAGTCAAGAAAACAAAATTCAAAATATTTGTTTCAACTGTTTAATTTCAAATCTAAGAAACACTTCTGAATAACTTGGGCCAAATTATTCTGAAGGACTATATGAACATCCTAAAGATGGTTTTGTAGATAGGATGATGATTCTTAGTTATGTGAAATATACAAGTTTCATGTGATTCTAATCATCTTTCTTTTTCCCCATTGCTTCCTGAAGTTGAAACTATATACCTAATTTCTTTTCCTGCCTGAAAGGTGCTTTTTTTTTTTTTTAAAAAGAGTTACTGAGGGACACTGGGACGGCCCTGAAGAAGAGCTATCCTTGTTCTACCCGCCACAGGAAAACCCTGATTAGGAATTTATAGTCAAAAGAGATCAGCTTTTCCAAACAAGAGGTAATAAACTTCTTAGAAGTAAACGGTAGCTATTATCCTCCAATGATGGGTGGGTGGAGGCAGAGTGGTTATTGCCTGCCTCATGTTTGAAACAATCACTTTCTTCTCATTTATTTCATATATGAGGTTCTCCAAAAGAGGTGATCACTTAGGCAGGTTTGTCAGTGCTGCTGTGTTACCATCTCTAAAATACTGACTGTTGCAAGGAACAAAATAGTCACAGTTGAGCCAGAAGCAGACTATGTGAGCTCCCTCTGACCAAAAAAGAAGTAATGCTGAACTTTTAAGATACCACTTTGTTAAAATGGGCAACTTAGCCCTATCAAACATTGTGCAGAGAGCCTCTGAAGAGTCAAGCTCGCTGCGGAAGCCCATCTGGAGAAGCGATTTTCATAAATACATAGGTCAAATTGTTTAAATTTGGCATGAATTGTATTTCGCGATGCAGGTGCTACCAGACTGATGAACTCTAAGGCTCGGAATGAGAAACAGGATTTATAATCCACATTAAAACTGTAATCCAACCAGCAGGGAAACTTCTTTATTTGGAAAGGACTTAAAAGAGTTTGAGCATTACAATTTGAAAGTCTAGATATAAATGACTCAAACACTGTAATTTTAACTTGGGCAAGATACCTTATTGGATTGAATCACATTCAACTAATCTAAAATGTATAGATAACCTGGTAATTAAAAATACCAAATACCTTTGTCTTTCTGCTTTGTATGAACTAGTAAGGTCATCAAAAAGCTTGCCATTCATTTCCATTAGGGTTTTCAGCACATTGTATACCAGTGCTACGATGGTCCTAAAATGAAAATCAGCAGTGTTGGGTCACAGGAAATGTAACATTATTATCCCTAAATGGTGGCTGATTCACTTAATCCATTTTAGAGATGATAAAGTGCAAGAGGTTTAATAATTTGCTCAAGGTCACATAGCCAGTGGTGACAGAGATGGTCTGATTTCAAAATTCATGTCTGCCTTATATATTACGCTTAAACTCTTAAAATGTCACTTTCATGTCTGCTCTCTAGTCTACTGTCTCAAGCTAACAGTATTAAAATATGAGAATATAACTTGTAAGAAAAAAAGGCTAACTTGTAAGAAAAATAGAAAGTAGGATAAGGGTTTTACAGAGGTTAGAATACATGCACAATCTGAACATTGCTGAGGTGACCTTAAGGGCTCCAGCCTCTCCCTGGGAGTGCTAACCCCAGAG